AACGACTATAATGTGCCGTAATTCCTCTAAATATTTGGCACTCTAAATTGGAAAATAAATAATTTGCTAGCAAAATAATTCTAAAAATTCGTTTGTTCCATGTGGTTCTAATTTTGTCACTTATCTCTAAGTTCTTAATGGCCCAAGTTAAGATATAGCCGGTTTCATGTATTAATGAATCCTCCAAATTCGACAAAATAATAATTTAAAAGCTCCCTCCAAAAAACATTTTAAAAAATTACAAATATGAAACTAAATGTGACATATTTTCATAGGAATTACGGTACATGTACAAACACCCTGTACTTAATCTTACCACAACTGATCGTCCTATGATACTGTTGGGGCCAGTCAGTGGAATCTGATCATCGTACAACTCAATTTCAGTGTCCCCTCCAGTGGATGTGATGTTCCCAAGGTCACCAGCGTGTCTCTCGCCGTCTTTGGGTCTGCCATGATTCTTACCAGCTGGATTGAAATGAGAGCCAGCACTGACACAACCTTGAAAATAAATAAATAAAATTAATAATAATAATAATAAATACATGTAGATGAATGTAAAATATTGAAGGGCTCTGCCTTATGGCCACACCTCCTAGTCATGCCCCCAAACATACAGAGATTCTTATCGCCCAATAAAACTGCATGTAGATGAATGTTAAACATTAATGTGGTGATCCTAAGCCATCAAATCAATGTACGTGTGTCCATAGATACACATGTACAGTAGATCTTGATGTACATGTATACATAGTGACACTAATACTGTAAAACTACAAATTTTAGCGTGCTACTTATTTTAGCGATATTAGCGAAGAGCCTAAACACGCTAAATTTAATATTCGCTAATAAAACACCCGGTCACGTGATCACAAAATGTCGCTGATACCATAGATACAGTATCTATGTGATACTATACTAGTAGATGGCTCTCTTCTGCTCGGTCGGCAACACTACCAGAGGAAGGAGAACCCAGTGGAACGACAGCAGCAGCTAACAGAAAAGTGGGAAAGGTTTAATGATACGCCAAATTTAATAGTCGCTAATTTGACATTTAAGCATAAACGCTAAATAAAATAGCCGCTAACATTAATAGGTTTACAGTAGACTAATCTGTATGTCAATACTCATGCATGATTGGTCAAACTAGCTCAGCATTTCATGGAAGGATATTTTAAGTTATATGCACATGTACATGTACTGTAATAGCTTTATTACTTAAGACCCAATAGCAGCAATTAAAGGTCCCTTACTCTACAGTGTTTAGCAAACATTAGGGACAATTAGAAACAATCACTGGATATACACATGTACATGATCACAGGTACATGTACTGGGCTTTGATACAGCAAACATGTAATCTGTGACATTTACAACTTGTAAGTTGTCATTAAGAAACTAAAATATATCTCTCTCTCCCTCTCTCTCTTTCCTTCCCCTCCCTCTCTTTTACCAGATGTATAATCTCCAAACTGATGAATATGGAAACCATGATCCCCAGGAGCTAGAGATGAGACCTTACTAGCACTTATAATGCCTTCTTCCTAAAGGAGGGAGAGAGGGAGGGATGAAGGGGAGGGAGAGAGGGGGGAGGCAAAAGAGAAAGAAGGCAAAAGAATGAGGGGAAAAATAGGGAGAGAAAAGGAAAGGTAGAGCACTATTTCTTGCATAAACTAATTTTTATATCTATTTGTGAATGACAAATTGAGGAG